TTTTTTTTTTTTTTTTACAAAATCATTTAGATAATAGTAATAAACATGTATTATATTTAGAGAAACTCATCGAATTTCAACGTCGAATATATACATATTGGACTAATAAATAAAATTATATTTTTCATTATTTTATTATTTTTATCGTTCAAAATATTTTTTAGATAGTTTTCACATACTTTTTCAAAGTTTAATTAATAAATCTAACTTATTGTATTTCATATCTTTGTTTATTGTTTGAAAGGCATATATTTAATAAAATCCTTCATTAGTATATACCTATATTTTATCTATTGTTTTATACATATCATGCTTATTTTGTTAACATTTCATCAATAATAATTCAATTTTGAAATATTTACACTGTGTAATCACACCTTATTGACAATGTATTCCATTCCCTTTCTCTCCCTCTTTTTTAAATTTCATAAGTTTCTAAAAATTTTTTTTACTAGTATTCACTTTGCAAAAGTAAATATAATAAAATATATAATTATACACAAAACAAAAAGTAACTTTTAAAACTATTTTTCATTACATCATCATACTTGTCTTTTATTTTTGTAAATAGTGATATCTCAGTATTTTAACTCATATATACTGTGATTAATTTTATAGATTATAGCATTTCCTAATTCTATTTTGTTTCAATATTCTAAATGGTACTTCCTCTTCTTTTTTATTAATTGATATTAATTGACACTTCTCATAATATTCATACTTTTTAGCTAGAGAATATCAGAATAAACAAGTAACTACAATTTAATCTTTATGTTGTACTTTTGTTATGTATATTAATTCAAAAAATATATGTACGGACATAAAAGCTTAAACATCCATTTATGCTTTCTATGTTAGAAAGTTCAAGTTTTCCTCCCATTAAATAACTCCAGCTTTTAAATAATAACATGTGTCGAGAAAAAGTGAAGTAAATTAAAAAAAATGAAATATTTAACAGATTACAAATATAAAACAAATTTGAATAATAGCTTTCTGATCAAATGTTTTATTTTTCCATTTGATTTTACTGGATGGCTCTATCACAGTTTCACATGTTCAGAATCTTTGCCAAAATATTCAACATATTGTCATTGTAGAGGCTTATAATCACTTTTTCGAACGTGCACAAATATAAAAATTATACGTTCGAATTATTACCAAGTCATCCAATATTAATTTATATGTATATCGTTCCAAATTTTACGATTGATATTTATCAAAGATAACTCGATAATTTAATCAACAACTTAAAAAAACATAATTCAGAGAAATAATTGCTCTCTCTTTCTCTCTTTTTCCTTTCGTTCAGCTCATTCAAATTATTCATCTTAATGTTTATATAGATTTACATTAGTTTAAGTTATAAATAAATTAGTAAATGAGGAAAACTCGAACCTTGAAATTGCATATAATTGTATTTTTGTACAATTATAGACAAAATCTGTCATATTATCATCATATTTAAGATCACTACACAACTTTTTGATGTACGTACAAACTGTTCGGTATTACGTACATACTACTACATATTATTGATACAGTATAAATATATATGTGTGTTTATTTGACATACATTCGGTACACAATCAACATATTTTTATATACATAATATATCTTTTTATTAAGTCCCTGTTTTAGAATAGACGATATACTTTCACTGATGAAATGTTTAGGATTTGTATTTCTATGTACGTATCATAATTTACATTATATCATTTACGTTATTTATATCATATTGCTGATGTCTGGCAAGTAGTCTTTTTTTTTTTTAATTAATCAGATAAAATGTTTATGAATTTAAAGAAATTTTTCCATAGTACTGTTAATTTTGTAACATCATCATTTACTTATAAAGAATTGAAGGACTGCACATAATCAAATTGATAACGAATTTTTCTATACAAAAGAATTACAGATATTAATTCAATATGACTAATTCTCGACTGAGTTGTAAATAAATTCGAATTATTATTATAACTATTTCTTACGTGAAATCATAAATAACATCTATTAGATAAAATATAAAATGTAAAAAATATCTTAGATTTATCTTAAAGTTAATTCAAACATTTATGATTACGTATGTATGACCTAACAATATCAATGATTAAGGGATTAAGAAATAAAAGTCATTTCATTGAAGATAGTAATAAAAAGTACTATCTTTTTTTTTTTACTAAAGTAACTTAATAGTTATGAATAATATAATATATAATTGTGAATCTGAATGTACTAAGTAGAAATTTATTCTCTATTTTATTTATAAATAAAGAAATTAAATGAAAATTATTATTCTTTAAAGAATATAATTTTAGTAATATTTAAGTATATAAAATGCAGAAAAAGAATTAAGTACTATATCTGTAATTCGAAAATTTAATTTTTATTTCCTTTATACCCATAGAAATGAAGTTTTTCTAATATACAAAATAGAACACTCGAATATTTCTGTTGTTTCTTCTAGAGATATAAAAACATTTTATTAACAAAAGTTACTCGGTATAGAGAGGACTATGACGATTTTTTTGTAGTTGGAGGGATTTCGAAGATTTTAAGATACTTTTCTATAGAAAATATCCAATTGCATCGATTAATGGATCAAAAAATATATCAGTCTATTTGAAAAAGTGGAAGTAACACATGATCTTCACATGATCTCTACGCGTGCATCTACAAAAGAAAACCTCCTGTAAACCATTCATTTTTTATCGGAATTATTTTTTTTACGTAACAGATAATTTG